TGTGTAATGGTATCCTTAGTGACAGAGTGTGTGCTGGTATCGTAGCTTCTCTGTTCTATGTTTCAGCAGCTGGTCACGTTCATGCCTGCTAATGCTTGTTAGTGCATGTGAGCGCCTCCCTTTGAAACTGTTTCCTTTTACTGTGCTTATAAACAGGCCAGAAGTGACCCAACACCAGATTGGAAATGTGAAAGTACAGTTCAACACTCAGCTGGCTGGACTGAACCGAGGTATTTTATGTATGTTTTTCACCTTTTGTCAGTTAATGTAATGCACCCTCGTTCCCTTTCAGGTCAATGTGGGAGTCAGTGCTGCTGTTTCAAGGCTCTACTCTGTTCCTCCTCCTCCTGCTCGTGTCTGTTTCACTCTGGTCTTCGTACCCCTGGTTCTACACGTGGGTCGGCTCCGGTCCGTCCACAGATCAGCTCCAGTCCCACAGACTGTGGAAACCGACACACATGGAGCAGAACGGACACTAGCAGACGTACAGAAAAACAGGTGAAGTGAAAATAACTCATCGTGGCCATTCGGTGTATTTAGCAGGGCGAGTGTGGGCTAATGGTTGTGGTTGGATGACTTCTTTGTTGGTTCTTGTGTACACAAACTTCCTGCCTGTTTGTTTTGGTTGGAGGTGATGGTGCTCTAGTGACATCCAGTGGTTCTGAAGGTTGCACAAGTACTTTTAAAATGCTACAAAATAAGCCGACCGTACAGTTGAGAGAAGCTCTTGTGTTGTCACTACAACAGCTTGTCCAAGTAGAACTGTTGGCGAGCTCAGAGAGGTAAAAACGTTCTAGTGTTTTATAAGAACAAGGTGATAATTTGATCAAAGCTAACTTACATAAAAACATGTTCTCTTATTACCCCTTTAATCCTGTTGTGGGATTTATCCTGAGATCCTTTCATGAGTCCGACTGCCAGGCTAGAAAGTATCCTGTTCAGTTAGGATCAGTAATGTCTTTCTAGCAACTTGAGTTACATTACTAGTATTACTTCGCCCCTTAGGCTGCAAGGTGGAGCGGTGGTTAGCACCGTTGCCTCGCCGCAAGAAGGTCGCTGGTTTGCATCC